TTGTTTTTGGAATATCTCCTCTGATAATTCACTACCGTTGAAAAGTAGCTTTATAGTGGCAAACTTTAGAGAGCTGTTTGTATGCAGCTGGGACAGAATTTACAGACTACCTTTCTCTGACTTGCTAAAAAGCTAAGGATTGACAGCCCCTTTCATCCTGCATTATCCAGTGTAGCTTTTAACTCCAAGAAAACTATGTTCACAAATTGATGCTCTGCTCCTTTGGGGTTGGTGCAGAAACATTAAATTGTACTAAAATATTCATATGTGAGTGCATTTAGCTGAAAGCAATTGATGTGCTTTTCCCTAGAGAGAGAGAAAAAATTGCTGTATGGCCCTGCACTCCAGCAGACACCCTAACCACGCTTAAGAGTAATTACACAGCTTGGCTGATCAAAGGTTCTTAAAGTGAAAAAGAAACTGTAGTTGGGATATAGTTTAGTAATTTGTGCTTCTTGAATGGAACATATTCAGCTGCCTCAAAGTAGTACGTACCAGATAATTGTCTGGTACACAGCGTAATGTATAAGAACTAGTGTCAAGCCAGAAAATATTTTATTGGGTTAATAGCTTGTAATTGGAAGGAATCTCTTTTCAATCTTTGCAATTTTCATCACAAAGATTTCTTTCTAATTTCATTGTCCTTTCACTCTTGCAAAGAAAATAAAATATCTGAGCTGCCTTTAAAAAGAGTACGTGTGCCAATGGGGTTTATTAAACTAGCCTGTTTAAAAGCATGCCACTGGTAGGATGATAAATTGGTATACGCTGAAGGTTTTCAGCGTAATTCAAAAATTGGCATAAAAATCAATAGTAGCTGACGGCATGCTTGCAAAGTAACTACCTCATCTTGTGTTGCACTTGGGGACGCACAGCAGTCTCTTACAGCAGCATTCAGAGTCACTGCAAGTTGCAACCAAAAACCGTTCTTGTGGTTCTCTTAAGCCAATGTACCTGAACTGCCCCAGGGCAGCCGAAGGCATTTTAAAATAATCTCGTAAGTAAAAATGAAGTAATATTATATGCCACAAGTTATTCTGTAAATAATTGGAAGAACCAATATGCACAGGAAAATAAATGCATTGCTGTGTTGGTAATTATAATCATCCACATACAGCACTCTTGTGATGTTTATCCAAGCAGCCTGTAACTGGCTATGTGGATTCGGGAGTTCGTCGTGCAGAGTCGTGCACGTGAAGTCTCACGGACTTGCTGTAGAGGCTGATATGTAAGTTGGGTATATTTAAAGCAGAGATAAGAGTTTAGGGGATGGCTAAAGGGGATTTTTTTTTTTGATGATTAGCATACAGTGGCTCTCCCTACAAGACATACTATGGTCATGTTTGTCAAAAAGACAATATGAGGCTGGATTAATACCTTAAATAGCAAATGAGAAGTTGAATTCTTGGTTTGGAATCTTGCCTTTAAATAGCATAAATTTGGATTTGGAGTTTTGTTTTTAGGGTTGTTGTGATGCAAACGTGTGCTTACAAGCTTGGAGGTCTCTGTCAGGGTCCTGGCTTGCACTGGAGACTTGTGGGATACTGTGTGGCAGGACAAATTAGAACACCCTTGGCCTTTGTGCCGGTTTGCTGGCAGAATCAGCTTTGGCTGCTGCTGTCGCCCGTGTGAGAAGCCTAATGGTCGTGTTAGGTGTTCATGCTCCCACCTTGACATGTTCCCATTACTGACGTACAAGGCCTTTTCTGCAATAGCACAGTGTTAATTTAGATGCTTCGTGATTGTGCCTCCCTGCCCCCTGCTTCCTGTGCTCTTAGGCTGTTTGGTCCATTCCACGTCCTGTGCTGCATGTTTCTTCCATTGTGCTCTTTCTTACAGTCAGCTCTCTCCTCTGGTGTCCCTGCTCCTGTGCTGATGTCTGCTGTCCACTTCATTAAAAATTAAGATTTGTAGCATAGCTGTGACATGCGTACAGTAATTATTTGCTGTGTGAAATTAAGTTACTGTGAGGCAAGACAATTGTCTAATCCAATGCCATGCCCTCAGACCACCAAAACTTTCCCTTTCTGTGATGTTAATTGCTGTTGGGACTTCATCTTGTGTCAGACAGCGCAGTGGTGCCCTTAGTGCCGAATCTGTGTGCTGTTTTGTTAGGTTCTCATGTGGCACGGTGGTGGCAGCAGCCCTGCAGTGAACACTTGCCTGTGCGCAAGCACCAGGGAGCTGATAAATGCCAGTCTGCGTCCTGGACTTCGACGTGAGTGCCTGTAATGGTGGGCTGTGGAGCAGTCACCTGACAGTAGCAATTAGAGCAGCTTCCAGGGATCCAAAAAACAGGAACTTGGAATTGGTGTAAAGCCATCTTTGTTGGCACCTGAGAAGTGTGGTCCAGGCTCTGGTTCATGCCGGTTTGTGCCTTGGCATGGGTTCGATGCTCTGAGGAACTGAGATCTCCTTCCAGACCTTCCTGTGCTCTCTGCTGCGATGGCAGGTGTTTCGCATAACGCGACGGGAAGCGACGCAGCTCCATGGTACTGATCTGCTTTCTGTTTCCCTCCCTCACTTACTTGCTGGTCCCTGGGGCTACAGTCCTGACTTGGGACTTTGAACGCTGACACAGTAGAAATGATAGGACTCAGCAAAAGGCATGGTAGAAATTAATGATTTCAGGGAAGACATCAAAACAAGGGGATTACCTTGAAAATAACATAGAGATCCTAATTTCTGAGTCTTTATGGCCTCTCTGGACGACCAGTTGAATTCTCGCCGTGGAGAGCGCAGAACAGTCCTGAGTATCATTCAGACCTTGTGGGTCCTTTGTTTCCCTCATACTAGATTGTAAAATAGATATAAACTAAGATTTAAGCAGCCAAATCTATTCTAAAGTATGGAACTGATAAAGGAGCATGCTGTCCTGTGCATTCTTTGTATGACAACATGACTGAGGGGACGTGGCGGAAGTGCCGGGGCCTATCGCATGGACTGGCTATCTTAGCTAGAGAGCCAACAGCACGTAGCCTAGAAGGCCATGGCTGAGATGCATGATAAAGGCTTTTTAGACAAGCCTGGTGATTTATAAAAGTCCTTTTACTGAAACATCCTTGTCTTTCCTAGATATTTTAATAGAATATATACATAGGCATCTGGCTCCCGGCTAGCTGGACTCTTTCCAAAGACTGAACTTCACGATGTTAAACAGACTGATAAGAATCTGGTAGTCTAGATGACTGGCACTTAATGAAATGTTCTAAAAAAAAATCAAATTATAGTAATGTGTTTTTCAAAAGAGCTTATATTAAAGACGATATGATGCTAGAATAATTTCTCCTGTAACATCTGTTCTTTTATTTGGTATAATTAAAATACCGCATGCTTACCGTGAGTTCTTATAGGGACATATTATATTACATTGCAGCTGTGGTTAAAATGGATTGACCTCCAGTAGTAATGTACTCGGTAAAAAGCTATCGAGGCTAAGAAATTTCTGAGTGTCTTCAACAGCTGTGTGTTTTTGTGGAAATACATAGACTAGATTTTGTGTTTCAATTTCAAAGCAAGCCTTTTTAATAGGAAATACTTTGTTCCTGCTCTGTTCTCCCTCCTCTTCAGTTTTTACAGGAGATGGCTTTTTAGAAAAGTGTAGAAAAGCTTAATAAATTTTATTTATCTATTCCTATTTAAAACCCAATATAGTAGGTGAAATCTATAGCTGTAGAAACATCAGAAAGCAATTTAATTGATACAATGACTATCAGGCCTGTATGGAAAGAGCAGTCTGCGCGGTCTCTGTATGTGAACACCTTCATGTGCCAGCCTCTTCTGTGGCTTGGTGCCTGTTGCACAGCTGTGCTTTGTTCTGCCATGTTAAAAGTCACTGTCCTGTAATGCACATCTTCAGCTGCACAGGGATAAGGTTTTTTGACACACTTACCCTCCCTGGCCCCCAAAATAATTTCTTGAGTTAGATTTGTCCGTTCTTAAATACGGACTAACCTTGGTATTTTTAAAAGAGAAATTCTGTTAGTATTTGAGGTTGCGTCTTTTCTAAATATGTAAAATACCACCTTTTAGTTGGTCTTGACAGATGATCCCCTAACTAGTTTTGTGTGTTACAGTTTCCTCTCATTGACTGAATTAGTGAAAAGTCCTTTCCTTGTTTTTCTTCCATAAAATGAGGTAACTAAACAGTACAGGTCTGACTGCTGCCTGGGCTCGTGGTGGGAAAGCTGTCACGGAGCTGAAGATACACCTGGCTTTGGATAGGTTGTAGCCTGGATGACTTTTAGCCTAAGGGAAAAAAATACTTTTCTGCTGTGAATTAAAACTGTCAATATAGATCTATTTGCCTGTAATATGTGTTTGAATGTGGGTCTCTTTGGAGATGCTAGGTTGGGAGCCCCAAAGCGTGAAGACCTACTGTGAGTTGGTGCCTACCTGGGAAGGTGGTCTGCACTCATTCCGTGGGGGAGGAAGAGCTTTAGGGCATGTGAACGTTGAGGGTTGGGGTAAAGAGTGGGAACCACCGCTGCAAGTGCATTGTGCGCTAGCCCACTGCACATCCGAAAGGTTTTGTCCTGCCATGTAGGAAACTTTGGAAAGGTTTAAACACCTGAATTTTCAGCTTTGTGTGTTCTGTCTTCTTGAAAGGATCCTAGAGGCCTCAAACAAAAAAGCCTAGGTTTTCTCTCTAGGCAGCTGCATTATCCATTTGTGGGTTATCTGGCTGAATGTTTGCGCTGGGAATCCCCAGGGGCATGGGCAACACTGATTGCCCTGTCCGCTAGCCGAGCAGTGTCTTAGGTTTGATGCAGATCTCCCCCCTCAAACCTGTCCTTGCCAGATGCTCCTCTGGGATCCTCCTTTTACAGTTACATTGCATCCCCAAGGGGGGAAGGGAACCAACCATCGGCTGCCTTTAATACTGAAAACTACCATAATGTAAAGACTACTGCATGTAATTGGTTTTGAGTCAGGTTTGCGAGAGCTTACTGAAACTATGTTGTGGGTGCCAAAAATGTCTCGTTTTTGTTTTCTTCTAGGAACTCTATATTGCCGTGGGAATATCCGGAGCAATCCAACACTTGGCTGGGATGAAAGACAGCAAGGTATATAAAGATGGATGTGCTGGAAAAGATTTTGGAGGAAGGAAATGAGTTGACTTTCTTGCTTTTACATCAGTACTTCAGCCAGTTTTCTGATTTTTTTTAATGTTGAAATAGCCAGTTTGTGTGCTTTTTAAAAACATGCTAGCCCCCTGAGTATTGCCAATAAAAGATATTGTGGCAAAACATCTAACACAGTAGAAAAACCATCGCACCACAACCTGAAGTGGTAAGTAGAAGCAGCTGACTGACTTTGTTTAAAAAAAAAGCCAAAACACAAATGCCTGAATTCTATACAATAGTTCCATTTGCGTTTATTTCAGGGTATGACATATTAATTCATGCATAACAATGCGCAATTTGAATTATGAACTTACTATTCCATAAAGTAAAAGATGTCTCTGACATTCCTGCATTTAGGCATTCAAATGGAAACCTATTATAAAATGGCCGTAAAACTTTAAAAGGTTTAACTCGTTAGTTGCCGAAGCAAATAATCCAAAATTGGAACTGCCAGCCTGGTCCACAGTGCGGTGTTGGGGAAGAGGAGCAGAATTACCCGCTGAACCATACTAGCACATGCCGAGCAGCAGAAGCTGTAGGTTGTCCTGCCTCCCCACAAGTGATTTTAGAGAAGGCATATGTATTTTTTTTCTATTTCCAGGGAAGAAACTTACGCTTTCCGGCAGAAACCAAACCCAGAACTTTGAATAGCTTACACAGCTGAGGAAAAGGTTTGCAAAACATGACAGGCAGATGCTTGTGTTAACCAGTGGCAGCCTAGTGAGTCTATGTGACTGGTAATGGTCCTCGCAAGCCAGCGTGTGTGGTAGGGAGAGCCGCGCTTTCTCACAGCTTAGTTCTTGTTCCATATATTATTTAAACATTTTTTTGGGAAATCACATAAGCTGGGTTTGGGATACAGCACCCTTTTTGGGGCCTCAGTCTTACAAAATCAGAGACTCAATTGGTGTTAGCAGTACTCGACACAGTGGAGAAATCCAACCAAAATTAGGGATGAACGGTGGGCAGGGATGAAGGTCACTGTTGAGAAGTGTCAGTAATGGTATCTGTGGCAGTGTGTTCTCACCGGTCTTAGCAGAACAGCATCGCCATAGTCTTCTCTACTCGCAGCGCAGCAACAGGCAAACAAGAGGGACAGTCAGACAGTGGCAGAGTCCATGAGAGCGACGCGGATGTGGTGGTACTACCAAGGCGGTACGACCACGGTGGTCCTCGGCTCCCTCCGGACTCCGCGGGGAGCTGGTGGGCTGCAGTGTGAAGAGCATCTGTGTGCTTTTGGGTGAGGGAGAAGATGGGCGGGTGGGATTAAGTATCAGGCATTGACTGGGAACTGTGTAGTTGAAGCTGCTTAAAACTCAATCTGACCCTGTTTGTCTCCTGCCTTATCTCAGTTAAGACTGCCAGCAGTGCTGGGAACCTATTGCTTTAGGTGCAAGAACTTCCTTTGATATAAAAATACTGAGCAGCAATATTGTCCAAGACTGTAACAGCAAAACCTCTGCTTTTTTGGCTTTTCCACTGCCATGTTTGGTATTTTGAGATGTTCTTTTACAGGAAATAAGGACAGATGAAATTTCTCGATACTGAACAGTTTCATTTCTCCCATATATCGTAGTTTTTCTACTGTAAACAAATGTATTGTAAAATTCAGTTTTACTTATTTGTATTTGAAATGTGCTCTGCTTTCCTTTTAGCCAAAGCATACAGGTGTTGTAGTGACTGAAAAGATACAGTTTTTGCAAACATAAAGAATTATGCAGCTGTGGGAGCTCTTTGGAGTGTCCCCCGTCTTCCGTCAGCACTGTGAATCATCTGGCGTTGTGATCTTGCACACTTCAGGATACCTTTCCCAGAGTAGTCAGATGCTTTCTGCCAGGCGAAATGTACAATTTATTTGTCCTTCTACAGCAAGGTAGCAAACACAGCTTTTGAGGAGACTGGGAGAATCGTCGTTGCTTTCTTTCCTTATTTTTCTGTTCCCTCATGAGGCAGTTACAGTATCTTTTCTTTCTAAGAGGTTGTACTTGCAAAGTTCTGTTGCAAGCAAGGTGATGTTTTTGCATCCTACCATGGAGAGTGTGATTTAGTGATGAGGTAGAGAACCAGATCTTACTAAAAAGTTACTTTAGTGAAGGCAGGGGAAGGACTAGGCTGCCAGGCTGAAGCTTAGGACAGTTTTGCGAGCAACTGGTGTTAATTATTTTTGTGGTAAGGACAGAGCCGGCAGCCCCCGAGGTGCCACCAGCCGCTGGTCTCCGCCCGCCCGCAGCGAACGCCCCCTGGGACTC